GCATGGCGATCGACTTTGCGCCGCGGCAAGTTTCACGCAAAAATTCAATCGCTGCTAGATTCGAAGGGGCAATAGTTGTAAATATCTAAAGAATTGTGTTATTTATGATCGTTGCGTGGATCGATTGATTTTGTGATTTGTGTTTTAGCAGTGGAAGCGTCGAGTCGAACATACTTCTCTCTTTCGTTTCGAAGATAGAACGAAATATTGAGAAACTCGTTGAAATTGTATGTAAAAATAATTTGAAAGAAAGCGCGTCGCGCCTTAAATCTGATGATTCATTTGCACATCTGAACGTTAAAAAGAGGTTACGTTCAAGAAGGTGATTTTAAAAATAATTTGTAAATAATTTATGTAATTTAAAAAGTGACAAGAATGAAAAAAAAAGATAAGAATCAGAAAAATTCTGAATGCTAGAAAAAGTGTTTAATTAATCAAGACTATTCAAAACCTTCAAAGTTTGAACTTGTGAAACCTGTTTGTTTTCTTTTAGAACTTACAATTATTATTAATAAATTATTGAACATAAGTCACTTTTCGCTGTTTCATTGTTTTACAACTTATGATTATTAAGTACATATTAACAAATTACTGAAAATTAGCTACTTTTTGCTGTATATTAATTTCTCGAAGGATATTAGAAAATGAACGAATTAATTATAAGATAAATGTTGAAGGTATCGTCGATGGAGTATTATAAACGAAGACAAACGTGGGTAGTTACTTGAAAAGCAGAGGAAAATTTTCGTTTATTTCTCTGAAAGTGATCATTAATTTCGAACATATCATTAGTAACTTGTCGAACCCTATTTCACTTGATCACGGTTAAAATTCTCCTCTGTAGTCGTAGGATGAACGTTGTAGAAGCGTGAACCGGTTGTTCGTCCCTTCAGCAGTCTCCTCAAGATTAATCCGCTTCGCGGAAGTGCAAATGGTCACCTTGTACTCCTGTTGTCGAGGTTGTACGCTTATCTGCATTGACCATCCTCGTTTATTGTCGCTTTAAAGTTATTTCTTCAGATTATTTTACATTCACTTCCTTCGCGATAACGCGTAATTCTAATGAAAAAGCCGAGTGTTTAAAGTATTCTGCAAACTTCAGTTCTTACGTGTACGTCGAGTTCTGTCGATGAATACAATATCTGATATTGTATCGCAAATATATTTTTGCTATAGTGACGTGGAGATTTATTGTTGAGTGAGTTTAGTTTGAAATGAGTCGAGCTTCTCTTCGATTGTACAGGGTGTATGAAAAATATTTGAAGGGTGAATTTTTTTTAATCAAATTTTGGATACATTTTGTTAAGTCATTAGGATTGTGTAAGGTAAAAACGGTCAGGATAACGGTGGTGAGCGGTGGAATAAAATATACACGTGGGCGGTTAACGAGAGTGAATCCTTATATTTTGAACTATACTGCAAGAGTGCTGATACAATTCTGTCCTTCCTGAAAAAACTAGTCAAGAGGACCCCCTTGGCAATATGGCCTTCCTTAGCCTTGAGGCAGAACTATCCCTAGGAGGGGGAAACGCAGCAGAGGACTGCACATGGCCCACTCAAGCCTTCGCTTTTTGGACTTTTCTAACAATTGGTACGTTTCCAGACGCGGGAGGCCATCGAGCATTTTACTTCCACTTTGAATTTCGATGTCTTTTCTATGGCCATTGTGCACATCTGCTTGCCGTACTTTAGCCTTCTAGTCCTTTAATTGTTTTATCAGCGTCGAAGCGCTACCCAGATTTGTTACCTGCCGCGCCTATTGTTCGAGACACGCGGAGTTTCCGCGCGCGTCACTCGCGGGTGCGCGGGCACTTGAGGGCGTCACCTTAGTTTTCGGTACCTAATGATTGCCAATCGCGTTAGATTTTGTTGACCAACCCGCGTGTCTCGCCTTCGCTGAAAGCTCGTATCCGAGGTGTCTTGGAAATTGTCCGAGCCCTCGATACACAGAATCCATCTAACCGTACGAGTAGTTGTTCAGAAAATAGTTGTTCGTCCTCCTAAACACGGAGGTGGTCCTTCGGGAAACGAACGTAGTAAATTTCGTCGGCACACTAAGAAGGAAAATATTTGAGGGTGTAACAGTACGAACCCCTCGATTTCAAAATTTAACAGAACCCCGAAATTTCAGTCAACGAAGTACAACGAAAGAAACGAAAAGGGCGTGAAAAATGATAAATACAAGAGTACGTATAAAAATCTCGACTGGCGAACATTTTCTTCGCGTTACAAGGAGGACTTCAGAGTTTAAATAACCGCGAGAAAACTGCGAGAGAAGGAGGTTCTCTAGTATGTACTACACTCGTGCAACATATATTAAAAAAGAAACATGTTAAAGCAATTGCGAACGGATTCACGGATGACAAGCTGCTGACGCGGCTTCTAGCCTCGCATAAAAGTACAACGAGAGTTTTACCGTGAAATAGTAATACCGCAGCTAAGTGGAAGTAGAAGAAAACGAAGGAGGAGGGCCCAGGGAAAGGGAAAATGGGGAAAGCAGACGAGCAACGACCGACAGAGCTTTCGAGGGTCTCTCCTCCTAGATTTTTCGCGGGGATGCACTCAGCTCGAAGTGCAATCGTAATTAACCGCTTTTCAGTGTCTCTCTCGCATGAAAAATACGAGCTTGCATAAGTAAGTGGACAAAAAGAACGTGTCAAGCTGGCTTTCCAAGCGAACGTTTCTCCCTCAATTTTGCTTTTAGCATCTTTCCATCGCGAATTAACTCTTAATCCCAGATGCGCTGAACGCGGAGGGGAAGGGAGAAGAGAAAACGAGGAAAGAGAAACACACCGATCGACGAATTTTAATAAGCGACACGGTGAATTATGAACGTGCGCGTGATTCGTTTTCACGTTCGATTGATGGAAAAATTGATGATTTAATGGAGAGGAGTGATGTGCAAATTGAAGATGTTGACGGTAGAGTCCGTTAAATAGAAGTAGAGGGACTTTTGGTATTTTTTTACGATTTACTATTTGGTCGTTGATCGTATTGTGATAATTATCATATTCATATTGATTGATCATTGATCATATTGTGATATTATAGTGTTCACAATATCGCTTTATAGTGAACTGAATATTATCATTTTGTGGCAGTTAACAATGTCTTCAATTAATTGTTAACAAAATCGTTTCTATACTCTGTCCAATTTAAGAATAACCTCGCTCTCGGACCGATTTTCGTCCGTTCTGCGCAGTTCCCGCAGTTAGACAGAGAGCGTAGCATAGGGTAGGACGGAGAAAAACGTAGGCGGTTAAGTGGGGGTTTGGGCGTTCTAGCCCCGCCTTAGGCACGTCCCATGCGCCGAAGCGAGGTTATTCTTAAGTTGGACAGAGTGTATACACTACCGGTCGAAAGTTTGGAATCATCTGCTACCTGTTGAATCTACTACTAATTCTTTATTGATTTGAAATTGATATTGTGGAGATCAACAGCACTTTACCTCATTTCAATTGGAATCATCTGCTACCTGTTGAATCTACTACTAATTCTTTATTGATTTGAAATTGATATTGCGGAGATTAACAGCACTTTACCTCATTTCGATTGATTTGAATGATAAAAAATTCGTTGGAAAATTATTATAAATGCTAACCTTTTTGGGGAATTTTTGTGCAACTTGCAGTGCACAGTGATTCCAAACATTTGGCCGGTAGTGTATACTCTGTTCAAAATTAGAGTAACCTCGCTTCGCGCGTGGGACGTGCCTAAAGCAGGGCTAGAACCACTGGAACGTCCAAACCCCCACTTAACTTCTCCGTCTTACCCTCTGCTACGCTCTCTGTCTATGCGCAGAACGGACGAGAATCGGTCCGAGAGCGAGGTTACTCTCATTTTGAACGACGTGTAGTGAATTGAATATTATCATATTTTGGCAATTAATAGTATTTTTAATTAATTGCTCGCAACTTCGTTTTTACAGTGAACTGAATATTATTCGTTATTAATTTTTAAGTGTTAAGTGTCAACGCATAAATTAAACTTCAAGTATTATTAGTTAGGATTTTTTCTATTTTTCCTAATGCGTTCCATTCGTCGTTGCAAACTGTAAATTAAAATTTTCTTAAAGTAAACGTTCAGCGTTAAATATCCAATTTCAGTTGAATTCAATTACAAGTGATAAAATAGATTATTACGACATAAATAAAAAGAATTTATAATATAATCCGTACACTTCATTATAAGCATGCATCAAAAAGCCAAAAAATGTCGAAAATTGCGAAATAGACAATTCGACCAATTTTTTTTCTGTTTTTATACTTAACACTGCTCCTAACATTCCGTTGTCGCCATTACTAATCATCATCCTCGCCACGTCCATTTACTATCACCTCCCCTTCAAAATTTTGCCATTTTTAAAAATTCGACATTTTTAGAATTTCGTCATCGAAACAGTTAGATCAAGTAGAACTGACAAATGAAACATATCTATCTAATAACTAATGAATTTTTATCTGTAAAATTGAATAGCCATAATTATACCTTTTGTCACTATTTCTTGTCCTCGTTGTCTTATTCCTTCGCGAATTCTATTATTTCGAATTACTTTAATTAAACGAATTTATGGTGAATTCAGATTATTAGTATTAAGTAAATATCAATTCACTTTAATTTTTGTATTATTAAAATTTGATAAAATCGAAATTTATTCAGGTTAATACCGTGTATGTATTTTCACAATTACTACTCGTATACCGTTTAATTTAATTTTATCATTATCATTACGATTTAGATTTATTAATATACGATTAAAAATATTAAGACATTTAGTACGAAAAAATACTCCAGTTTAAAGTGTCTCCGATACTTGTGTTCTATCGCTTGTTCTCAACTACTCGCACAATGTACCATCATCGTCCGAGGTATGTGCAGCACATTACAAAAGAGCCCTAAAATATTACCGAAAGAAAATTTGCAAACTTATAATACGAATTAATCTTTGTTTCTTTGACACAACTAATAATATAACTATAACTAACCATCCCTTATTTTGCATGTTGCGTGTTACAGCGTGTGACTGCCATCCGATCGGGGCCTCCGGGAAAACTTGTAACCAAAGTACCGGCCAATGCCCGTGTAAAGATGGTGTAACCGGTACCACTTGTAACAGATGTGCCAGAGGTTACCAGCAGAGTAGATCGCACATCGCACCCTGCATCAGTAAGTAAACAAAATTCCTCGAGTTCTGTGTCTTTGCATCAGTAAGTAAACAAAATTCCTCGAGTTCTGTGTATATAAATATATTACAGTTTAAATTTATCTTTCTAAAAATCGGCATATGTGATTTTTGTCGAAATTACTATGAAACAACTGAAAATGAAATTTTGAATATAATTATGTAATATTATTAATATAAATGAAGTCTTGTATAAAAAGATTTTTTGGCCATTTTCTGGCCATTTGTGGCGTTTAAGATCTATTTGTCCTAAATTACTAGGCTTGTATTTATAAATGTACCAAAATAATTTTGGTATAAATGGTAATTTGAAATCTAGTGACAGAAAATTATTGATAACCTAAATGCTCTCATAACAAATCAGTAGAATGCAAAAAAGTGTATAATACTGTTCCATGTTATAACTAGACTAACTCATATTTTTATGAGTATAATTTAAAAAAATAGAAGCTAGACAGGCAATTGTTTTATTCGCTAAATATGTATTAAATTTAGGTTTAATTACATATTTTGCTTATTATATGCATTCTGTGTATTTTCGTGTCTTCAAATTTTCCATGTATGCATAAAAATCTGCAGTCCTTGTAATCCTTTCGCGACGGCGGAACTAGGCACCAGTGCGCCACTAACGGACGGGTCGTCGTGCCGTTAGTGCACACCATGAATGTCTCGCGTTTTTCGAGCTCCCAGTGTGTCCGTGTAAAATCTTAGAGGATTTCGTTGGAACAGCAGAGGACTGTGGATGCCGGATATAACCGGCGCTAGCCAGAGTGAAGCATTTAGCGGATGCCGGATATAACCGGCGCTAGCCAGTGTGAAACATTTAGCGGATGCCGGATATAACCGGCGCTAGCCAGTGTGAAGCATTTAGCGGATGCCGGATATAACCGGCGCTAGCCAGTGTGAAGCATTTAGCGGATGCCGGATATAACCGGCGCTAGCCAGTGTGAAGCATTTAGCGGATGCCGGATATAACCGGCGCTAGCCAGTGTGAAGCATTTAGCTGATGCCGGATATAACCGGCGCTAGCCAGTGTGAAGCATTTAGCTGATGCCGGATATAACCGGCGCTGGTCGCGAAAGGGTTAAGAAAATAACCTTTTAAACTTGAAAACTAACAATTGTCATAATTTGGTAATTCAGTCATATCTAGAACTACACGTTGAATTATTGTTTTACATTGCAATATATTCGAATTGAGTTTTATAAACTACTCTCTCTTGTTCAGTAAACAAATTCACCGTTCAGCTTTGAAAATTTCGCATCAGATATAATAGCAGATTACCAACTTTCCACGTTGCTGATGATCAAAGTTGACTGCGCGTGTACCAAATTATTTCCAGCATATTGCACTGCGCCATTTCCTACATAGTTCGTCTTGACTTATTATACACATAAGGATTCTCCTATCAGACCTGAAGCTCTCTTCGATACAACAAAGAAAGTTAACGAAGAAATATTTTTCTATTATTATTCGTTAAACGCCCGAATAAAAATTATTCTCGTAAGGTCCACGATGGAAGTGTGTGAATAATAACAAACGTATATAATTTCATGACTTACGCATAAATAACAATGTGTAATAAATTGAAATCCGAAACTGCGATGAATCATATAATTCTATGGTTATAATTACAATTCTATAATTATAATTGTATGATAAATTATATTAAGAAGAACTCGCAAACGATTATACTAATAAAACGTACAATCTATTAAAAAATTGTGAAGCACGACAGTCTGAGATTTGTACATCTACCGAAGAGACTTAACGCTAGAAATACCAGCCGGGTCAAAAATGACCCATCGGCGACTTTCCAAAAGTGAATTTCCATGTAAGTAAAACGCGATTGGAAAATTAGATTTATATCGATACAAATAGAAGCTTACACGTAGAAAATAAATTCGAAAAAGTTAAAAACGACAATACTTACCAGTATGGAGCAATCACTTTTTTTTTTTTTTCGAAAATTGCTAATGGGTCATTTTTGACCCTGCCGGTAGTTCTAGTGTTACAGAGTACAAAGTATTCATAGTACACTGCTAAAATTTGAAAACAAAGTGACGAGGGGTACACAATACATCCTGCTCGCCGAAAAACTTGCAACACCTTAGAAATGAAATCGCACAAATCTGAAATTTGCATATATTGTTCTTCTTACCGAAGTGGAAGAATGATTAAAATTTGATTGAAAAAATGTCATTTTTTCCTCGGAGCAGCCCAAAGAAAACATATATGATTTCCAGATTTGTACAACCCAAATTTCCAAGTGTTGCAATTTTTTTTTATAAAACTTTCTTGCAATTTCTTTGATAAAAAAAAAAGAAGCACTTTCAGCGAATACATGTTCCTGTATCACTCGATAAATTCAATCGTCTGAAATAAACATTAAGCAACACAATCGCTCAGCCAAGCCAGTAGTAGAAAGCAACGAAATACATAAGTAACCCAAATTACAGCGAAACATTATTTATAAATCACGCGGCATCTTGCGAAACATGCGAGATCTCTCGGAACGGTTCCATTAATACTTTAAACGGCAAAGGATCAGCCCGGTGAAAGAAGAGAGAGAGAGAGAGAGAGAGAACAAAAAAAGAAAGATCTCTCGAAATTTTCGACCGTAGCCGTCCTGTTTTTAAAGGCGATCGATCGATCAATTGGAGGAACACGCGACCGTTCGAGCGTGTAGTATCGCACGATCGCTCGTCCAATTAGGTGAAATTTGCGAATACGAAAGAGGAAACCATGTAGGCCTTTTAGAAGAGGTATGAGCCGTATTTAGCGCAACTCCACAACCAACAATCACACGTTTATTTTCCTTCTCGCAGAAATACCGAGGGTTGTGCAGACTCAAGGCACGGCCGGCGAGGAGAGCGGTGAACACGAAGATGACGACGACGAGCACGGCTACGACGAACGAGCTGGTAAGTAAATGTCAAGTAAACCAATCTGACTTGCCTCGTAAGGCTGCTTTGACTCTCGATACTTAACGTAGAAAATGACACCGCGTCTGTGTGAAAGGTGCGCGTTTTTATCAGCCGTTTACGCGGTCTCGGCCGATAAGTGGTCTTCCTACTGTGACCGATTGAAAAAAAAACAATTTTTTTTTTTTGCATTTTCTTGTAGTTTAACATTTGGAAAATATGTCGAGAATGTTTTGAAGCTTGATTCTCGAAATTGACAGAGATACATGCCTCCGAAGGAAGTGGTTTTGTATAGTCTTAACCCCGTAACTCTTTGGGGCACAGTGGGGTAAAAAGTGTCCCACCTTTTTAGCACTTACATATGCACAGTGGGATGTTTTTCATCCCACGTTGAAGCATTAAGAAAAAACTAATGTAATTTAACCTGTTTTCACAAATTTCACGGTGAGATTATTTATGTCCCACTTAATAATTAATTATCTCAACATTTTTTTTTTAAGTTTTAGTTGTTTTATGTCGTAATTCTTACCTGCTTTGTTACATTTTTGAAAAATAAAATTCCTGTGCAACTATAATCTGTTTTTGTGTTAAAATTCTGTGCTTCAAAGAGTTAACCTATAACAACGTGTGAGACTCGCGGCAGAGATTCTGGTGAAGATGTGAGAAAAACAGTTATATTAGTAAGAAAAATTCATTCTAATCCTAACTTTCGTTTGAATTTGCAATACTGAGGATTGCTAAATGTAACTAATCTGTAACAGATTACTTTTTGTTACTTGATACAGTACTAAAACATTAAATGGCCGACGCTTAGGTGCACAGTCGGAAAAGAAATCATACGTTAAGGGGTTAAACTGTAGTTGAAACTTAAAAAATTCAAGCATTAATTATCAGTGATTCAAGTTACTACAGTAACGTGTAAACGTTGAAATTATCATTTTACTGTCGTCCAAAAGTACTTTCGACGACGTGCAAGTTTCCACGAAGCGACGCTTCTCTCACAGTAACTTTTGTCGTACATTTTTTTAGGTTAGGTCCATATTTTTCATTTTTAAGCCACGCGCAACATAAAAGTAGGTACCATTTGTTTATTGTGATAAAAAATGCGACATTTAAACAATTATAGTAATTTATTATCCAACAATACTTAATAAAAGGCTTCACAAACAGTGCACTTCGAAATTTAAGATGAACAAACGACACTCAATATTGTTTTGTAAAGAAAACTATACTATATCAATCAGCGCGTGAAACTTTCATCAAAGAAACAACACCATACAAGGAGAGAAATATAAAAAAGAAAAATTACAATCTGCTTCAAAAAATTTTCAACTTTTTCAGATCACCCTACAATTAAAATTCGCCTTCACATTCACTTGATGACGCAAAGTCAAGCTTAAGTACCTTTTATTTTTACTTCGATATTTATTAAGAAAAAAAAAATCACACCATAATATTCCAATAATAATACTAAATTTAAGCTAAAGCTACCCATTATCAACGAATTTTCTACGGAAAAGAAAAATTGTAGAAAAACGAAGGCACAGATGGGAGAGAGATACACGGGAGGAAGAACGGTGAAACGTTTCTCTCCACCGTAACGGGAAAGGAATCTCGCTTATTTGTAATTTCCGTTATAATATTTTCACAAGCAGAAATGTTTCACGGCACACACGGGGAAAAGGTAGGAAGTTTATTCGGATATAAACTCCCTTGCCACGTGGCAGTATGGAATGTAAGCACAATATTAATTTGGCAGACGGAGAGTGAGAAAGACAGAGTGCGAGAGGAAGGGAATAGAGGGTTGGAATGTCTAGCCGCTTGGTCGCAACCTCTCAGCCACCCTAATGGCTTAATTAAAACTACCCTCACTTGCAGCTTGCCCATTTGCTTGGAATTTCCAACGGCCTACTTGTACCTCCGTATGAACATAAAGTTTACCGTTTTTATTTACACGTGCACACGTAGCAATAAATCGCTCCATCAAACCATTTGCTCCCTGGCTGTCGCGTACTTACCCACCTATAGTTCGTGTACAGTGGGTGGGGTGATCGAATTATCAGAGCCACCTGTAAGAAATTCACGGTTTTGACGTCGTAACGATTCATTTCCAGATGGAAACCTTTGTTACAACGAATTCTTGTTATTTTTTTTTTTCTTTATTTTTGAGAAGCGTTGATTTTTACAAATTGCAAATACACACTTGGCGGTCACTTCGGGCGATATTATCTGTCGAGTAGGACGTTATTCTGTATCGGTATTGCAGATCGCCACTTGAGAACCACGTGTTACAGTTTCGGTGGTTTGTAGATCTTGAGAGTTTTAATTTTTGTTGCTGCGTTTTCGCTAATTATAACGCACAGTGAATTACTTGAAACGTGTCGAGAAAAGAATCGAGACTAGCGCTACCAAATGCTCACTTTATTGGTACTTCTTAACACATTGCGTATGGGTCACGAGATATCTCGTTTTAATGTTTCTTCATACGCGCGTATCGACGACTCAAGAAATTAAAAATAGATTTTTTTGTTACGTTACCAAGGCAACGAAGCCCTGCATATTTTTATGACAAATGATTAGCGAATTAAAAAAAAAAAAAAAGTAAAGTCTCTTCGTCCAATGGAAAAAGGATCGAAACCAGATATAGTTGCAAATTATGCCGAATACCGTTGCACAAAGGAGAATGCTTCACCACATATCATACTCTGAAGCATTATTCAAGTTTGTAAAATAAATGATAATTAATTGATTTAATTTTATTTATATGATAAATAATAGTTCAAATGTAAAAAAGCCTACATACTAAATTAGATGTACAAGAAATATGTAGTAATATTTAAGAATACTTTATAAATGAAAAATAAAAAAGTGCATGTATGCATTGTACGGGCCCTGGGAGCGCGTTGAACGAGCAGAGTGCCGTACGCAATGTGTTAACTGTACTTTTTGTACCTACATAAGGTAAGTTTAAGTGTTTCGTGTATCTTTAGTGAACGATCGTTAACTGAAAATTGTCTGGTGCGAAAACCTTGGTATTGTGATTTTATTTCTACGGAAAAACGAAATACATATTTTTCGTATTGTGGCTCTAATAATTTGATCACCCCCTGTGCATCGACTAGCGACTCTCTTTTTTTTTATTTTTAATTTCGACGGTTTGACGATCGTCATGAATACAGATTTTCCACCCCGAATTCAACTTTTTGCAAATCAAATTCACCCCATTTGCAAATCAAATTTACTCTCTTTTTTATATTTTGCTCCAACCTGAAATCACAATTTAAAGGGAATTTACTGTTTCCCGGAAATTGCGAGAATTTCAGGCAAGTTAAATGTCGATATAACTGAAGTCTGTCTAGAGACTGTTTACGTAGATATTTAGTAAATAGTAGAATTGCTGGGATTTCGGGAAATGTGGAATTTGATTTGCAGAAGGGTGAATTTGGAGTGCAAAATCTGTATTTGCAAGATAATTGTGAGTTTGTGATAGCGTACAGTATATGTGTTGTCTAATCAGCAATGAAATAGATCGTCCCCTAAGTTCCTGTCGAATTTTCTAATTTAGATCAATATTTTCAACTAAACTTCAAATTTGATGAAAAGAGAAAAAATAGAAGCGATTTCTCGTTCCATAACTTTCTCCTACTTTTTTCATTTTCACTCTTGGGAGGATCATTATGTCGTCGTTGTAGAATTTGCCTGGATTTTTATTAGAATATTTCTGAAACATTAAACAACCTCTAACGACAAGAGAGCACGTTTCGAAATATGAAAAGAAATTGAAGCAAACGGAATCTGAAATTACATTACCAAAATTAATATTATTTTAGGAATACTGAAATTATACTACTTATTATACGATATTTTGTAGTAATTATTTTTATCATTGTGTAATTGTTACCATAAAATATTTATTAACTTCTTGTCATCATTAGAACAATTAACATTATTTTATTTATTTTTCACATTTAAAGCAAGCTAACAGAAAATCGAGTCAATTTAAATTTCCAATAAAAATAAGATGAATCTAATATTTTGCCTGTGAAAAAATGTATTCAAAACAGGAATTATTTTCCAAAGCTTCTTAATTTTATTCCAAATTAAAATTCATTCAATCCAAATCCTACGTAATACATCAAAATTCAAAAACCTTTTTGTCTAACAGTAAAGAAAACTTCATCTCCTTATTAATACTGAAATTTTGCTTATAAAAAAAAAATGCCTCCTATTGTAATTTATCGAAGCGAGCAAATCGATTAGAAAATCAATTAGAATTGAAAAACGCGAAGTATTGTCTGACTGTTATTTTTTATCTCTCCCCTCCTATTAATGTCACCGCGGTGATATTAGCAAACGTGAACTATGGCTATCATTGGCAAAAGGAGCATGTTTGAGTATAACTACTATAAATAACAAAGTATTATCCTGTCCCAGGACATGTTCAATAGTTGGATCAAGTATCGTATCATTGCCTCGAGATTCCAGTTACTTCTACTGTTACATATCGCTGTCTCGACGCGATAATTTGCAGATAACACGAGTTCAACTTTATAAGAGCAGATACAGTCGTTGCCGCTGATGAATGACGCATTCCCATCGAACAAGACACACAGAGAGCCACATTTACGAATAATATTGTTATTAGAGAGGAACAAAGGAACGTGGACGCATCCTGAGAGAAGCAGCTCTCCGTATAATTTGCAACTTTTTCCTGTATAATGTCTGTAATTACCGACAATATAAGATTTTTTCGAAGTGCCGACTTTGCAGTTTCTCGATAACAGTATCAAATACGCTTCTTCCTGAAATTAGCCAGAGGACATATTTTCGGTCTGTGAATTGCACCCACGGAATAAAATTTTTGCGCGAAATTTCTGTAAAATAATGTTTTGCGAGGAAAACTTGTGAAAATGAATTTTTCTTATCTCTGCTCTGTTCAAAATTAACGTTCTCTTCTGTCAGAAAAATTACTCCGACTCCGCGTAGGGTGGGCGTAAAAT